CTGCTATTATTTGAGAGCCAAGGCAAACAATGGCATTTACAAAGCTAAAAGTGACAAAACCATTCAATTTTCAAAACATTGCACTGTAGCTGTTAATGCAGCTTTTCCCCTTTCCCAAAACACACCAGGGAATTCTCATTAACAGCCTGTAACCATCACTTTCCCACTTTTAAGTTATGCTGAAGACCCATTTTATAGCCACAATTCTGCTTAACATTTGCAAAAAAAGTTACTCGTGGTTTTGGGCCACCTAGATAGAATTTAAAACTGCAATCTACGCTTAAGACTAAGAATTGTAAATACAGATGATATTTATAAACTGGTCATTCATCTGTTTATCAATACTGTAGCTTGGTAAGTTTGTGATTTCTAATTGATCTATCAAAACAGAAAACACCACAGCAGTCTCCAATTAAACTCATTCCTACTAACACTCTATTTTAAAAATAAAACTTTTGCTTTCACAAACACGAAACCTATGATTTTATATGTTACATTTCTAACACTTATAATAAATTCCATCACACCACCAGTAAATTGCATTAGAATCCACAGCAAAAACATTTGTGACTTACTCTTCCATCAACCATGAAACGCCACAAGAGCTCCTGAGGCAATTTCACTTTCGGTATGAGTTTAAAGGGACTTTCTCAAAACTCACGGGAGTAAACAACGGGGGTATTTCCCCAGAAACGCTCTTAATGCAAGACTCAGCTTTTGTAAATAAAATGTCACCCTCTTAGGCCAGTTTTACGTGAAATAAAACAAGTGGAGAAGCAAGACGCGCGACCTAAGATGCAGCAACCAGCTTCAAAAGGCAAATTGTTGACGGAAGGAACAGGGGGTTGTCAGAATGAGTGGATAATAAAGCAGGACACATCAATTTTCCCTAAAAAGAAGGCAAGCACAGCTCTGACACACTTCACCGCGGCTGACCAAGGGGAAGCACAGAAACAGCCTCACGAGCGAACCCTCAGGGACGGCAGCCCCATCCCTGCGGGCCCGGGCATCCTCATCCCTCCCCAGGAGCGCTTCCAGCGCCTCCCGTGCCGGGGCTACCGCCAGCGCCCCGCTGGCACCGGGCTGCCAGCACGGCCCCGGCCCCGGGCACCCACCTGCGCCCCGCGGGCTCGGCACAGCCGCCGCCGCCGGGGGAAGCTCGGGGCCGACGCAGCTGCTCCCTGAGCTGCTTCCCGGCAGGGAGGGAGGCGAGGGCCGCGGTCCCTGAGGGAGAGGATGGGCAGCGGCTCCTACGGCAGCCCGGAAGGCCCAGGGAGACGGGCGTGACGTGAGTGAAGCCGCGCCCCGCCCGCCATGGCCGCCCTGCCCTCACTTGGAGGCGCCGGGGCGTGCGCGCTGCTGCCGGGCGCGCAGTGTGGCAGAATTGCCTTGGGTCGGGTGTGCTGTGGTGGTTGATGTGTGCGTGCTTCCCAGCCTAGTGAAAAAGAAAGGAATCACGGAATCACAGCGTCAGTTAGGCTGGGAAAGAGCTCTGAGGTCATCGAGTCTGACATATGGCGGAACGCCACCAGTCAGGCAGACCATGGCGCTGAGTGCCATGTCCTGTCTTTCCTTAAAATCTCCAGGGACTGGGACTCCACCGCCTCCCTGGGCTGCCATTCTAATGTCTAATCTTCCTTTCCATAAGGAAATTCCTCCAAATATCCAACCAAAGCTCCCTGGCACAGCTTAAGGCCCTGTCCTGTCATCCTGTCCCCATCCTCTTACCCCATCCATGTGTAAGAGATGTGCCAAGAGCATGGCCCCATCCTGTTCTCCTGTCCCTGAGGAGATTTACCCCATCCATGTGTAAGAGAGGTGCCAAGAGCATGGCCTTGTCCTGTTCTCCTGTCCCTGAGGAGATTTACCCCATCCATGTGTAAGAGAGGTGCCAAGAGCCTGGGCCAGGCTCTCCTTGGTGGTGTCCAGCCATAGGACAAGAACCACCAGGCAGAAACTGGTGCACAGGAAATTCCACCAGAACATGAGGAAAAACTTCTTCCCTGAGCAGTGACTGAGCACTGAACAGTTTGCCCAGAGGAGGCTGAGGAGTTTCCCCTCACCGGGGATATTCCAGAACCATCTGGACACAATCATGTCCCACATGCTCCAGGATGGCCCTGCTGGAGCAGGGAGGTGGGACCAGGTGACTGTTGTGGCCCCTTCCAACCTGATCCATTCTGTGGTTCTGTGAGATGTAACCCATGAAATAGCAACTTACAAGTTCTAAGTGACATCCAATTGAAAAATAAATTAATTATTGGTAGAATTGCCATGTTAAGGTTTAGGGATTGACATGTTTCAATGATCTCAGACCTTGGGGAAGGTTAGCAGAGCTTGGGAAGAAGGAGCTACTAATGATAGTGGACACAAAGAATGCAGAATTTACAAGCCACAAGGACATTTGGGAGAGCTTCCAAGATAAGGAAGAAACAAATAAAACCAACTCAGTAACCATGCTGAAATCAGCTCCAACTGGGTAAAAGGTGATTCTGCCAGGGAAACATCACAACAAAATGACCCACGAAACCCACAAGGTCAAAAGATGAGAAAGTGCTTATTAGCATAAGAAGTGAGAGAATCATTAGCCAGTAGAAGATAGAATACTAATTAAGAAAAGAGCTATCCAACTTGTAGCAGATCATAATGGCTTTGTTTGCTAAAATGTATAAATGCTAAAAAGTTTTGATAGTGGGTGTGCTTGATTTGTGGAAGACCACCAGCACCCAGGCTTGTACAACTCCAAAATAAATAATGTCTCTCTCAAGTGTGTAATTATTGGCTTGTTGCACTCTGGTTAATGAGACAACAGCAGGACCTTCTGGCTCCAGAGCATCAGATGGCTCATCCATGGGATGTGATGGGGGTCCCCAAGGCTGCCTGAGGGACTGTCCCTCCAGGAGAGGCTGGGTCTGGGTTGGGGGTGAGTGTTCTGCAGCCACCCCTCATCTGCCACTTCTGTGTGTGAGGCAGAGATGTGCAGGTTGGGGTTTTTTCTGTATTTTTTGAAGGCAGCAGTGTTGCAGGTGAGATTTAGCATGGGAGTTTGTATTTCCCCATCAGTGGGGGTGGGCAGGATCTTGCCTGGTTGTGGGGCTGTCAGAAGTTAACCTGGGTTCAGAGACTGGGCTGGAAGAATCCATGAGGGATGTGCCAAACACCACCTCAGGTTGAGGCAGAGCTCCAGTGTCACTTCCAGTCCCCAAAATGTCCAGGAATGGGAGCAGGGAGCAAAGCTTCAGGGATTTGGCTGTACAACATGGCTGCTCAATACTGTGTTTTATATTTGAGGTCCTCAGTGAGTTGGGACTCGTTCCTGGAATGTTTTTGGTGCCTGTAAGAGACAGACTTTTAATGGGTAACACCAGTTACAAGTAACTCATATGGATTAATTCTTTCATGTGACCAGCAGCAAAGGGATTTCATTCTGTTTTACTCTATTTTATTTATGTGTGACTGAAATAATTGCTCAGCAGTGTGATTTATTGTAGAATGGATGGACCTGCAGGACTGTCCTAACATTTTCCTTAGGAAGTCAGGCAAACTACCATGAGAGTCCCGTTTCCAGCTTTGGAATGGAAACCTCAGAGGGTTCATGGGGTGTGAACAAGACACTGAACTAGAATTTCAGGATTCCATGTTCCCCCATGTGCATAAATCAGTAAGGCTTGCCTACTGATAAAGTAAATTTGCTTTATGGTAGTCCTGAGTTCAGTGCTTGAAACTTGACTACATCTGTGGTGACAGTGACGAAAGCTCCTGCCCATGATGGCCAAACATGAAGAAGTTAACAGGAAAGGTTTTGCAGATCAGGTGCCCTTCAGAAGTGGGACTTCCTAGTATTTGAAGTTTTAGGCTCTTTTCTCATTTTTCTGTTTCATTTTCACTACAGCTGCTTTAGGAAAAAACCTGTAATTTTCTCCTTAGACAATTGTGTGTGTGTAATATTCCAGTCTCTTGAAATGTTAGTACAGAAACTTTTCTCATAACTACCCCACTAAAAAGTAAAAACTTACTGAAAATGCTCTTTCATAATGTCCTTGGAAATTAAATTGAAAGATTCCAAAGGCAAAATACCTTTTCTAAATTAGTTCCAGTCAGTACAAAGCACAGTAATATCCTAGAGAAGCCTGAGGAAAGGACAAAGTGTTTGTATGAGAGTTTACAAAGGAGTTAGTTACTTAGTCTATGCATAAACCTGCACTGACTTTAAAACCAAGGTTTTCAAGGTCCATGTTTAATTAAGATAACTAAATCAATCAAAGGACAATGAAGTTTTTGAAGTATTTCCTTGCAGGTAATTTCTCGTTTCATGTGGAATAATTGTTATCTAGTATTTTCCCCTGTTATATCTATTAGGTATATCTACGCTTTTACCTTTTTTTTTTCCTTCCTAATAATACTTTAAATACTTTAACTACTGTGAAGAAAAAAACCCAGTTACTATGGTGTCCCATGGCTACCCATCATGAAGTAAGGAGATATTTCCCATCTCCAATTTTTTGTGAAGACTACATTTGAAAATGAGGTGTGTCTGAACACTTGCAGCCAGAAGTGGTTGATTCAAAGATCCTGTTTGTGTCATTGAAAACCACCTGCAAGAAAGGGTTTCCTCCCTCTAAAGATCTTGGAGAAGGGGAGACCTCATTAGTTTTCTAATGAAACACTGGGGATAGATGGGAACCAAAAATATATTATGGTAAAATTTATGTATCAGAGAGGAATTATATTTACTAAGTCTCATTACAACAATAGAAATGAGCAGAGGTTTTATTAATTGATTTTAAAAATACATCAGAAATTGTCTTGAATATCTTGAAAGTGAATGATGAAATCACATGTTAAAAATTATAAAGATATTAAATATTATATAGTCAGAATCTTCCATGGCTAATACTAGTAGTAAACCCTCAGGAGGCTGATCTGTGTAATTAGAAGGACTACTTTGCTATTTTATGTTTTAGTCAAGTTTTTGACTAAGATTTAGGTATTACTGAATGTCATTGCGAGACATATAACCCAAGCCTCCTTGCAGCTTCAGAAATTCTGGGCCCTTTCCTACTTGGGAAAGGGTAAAAGGTCAGTTTGTTGCAGGCTGGCATGCCTTTTGTAGCAGAAATGTGCTGATGTGCCCAAAGTGCTGCAGTGGGTGATTTCAGAGGAGGCTTTTGGCAGGAGCTTGAAATGTTGCAGCCGTTCTCTCTGCTGAGACTGTTGAACACACTTGAGCTTCCCAGCTGCCTGAGCTCAGCCAGTTCACTTGCTCCTGCTGGTTCCTTGGTCTGCAGTGTGCCATTTCCCTTTGAAATCAGTCTCTGGTTGTCAAAACTCCATGGTGTGCTGCTGCAGTGGGAGAGATCCCAGGAATCTCCTTGCCCCAGGGCCTGCCCCAGGCGGTGCCTTCCCAGGTGGACGCGCCATAGCAAATCCTCTTCTGAGTCACCACCGTTGGTTGTCTCCAGTGGGACCTTTCTGACAGGGACGTCTCCTCTACATGACTTTGATCTTTTAACTTTCTTATTAATTAGAACAGGGTTGATCATTGATTCTGGCAGAACAGATTCATGTCCACCTGCAGGAGAAATGCATTTGTGCACGTTACTATGGTGGCAAAAATCAAGGGTATGATTTCAGCAGCATTAACTCATCTGAAAAGCTTTTAAACTTTTCAGTTAAAAAAAAAAGAGTTTAAACTGTGCTCTTTGTTTCAGTGGCTAAGAGTAGTGCAAGTTCTTTTGATGCCAGGTTAAGGAGTAGAACTACTTCATGCTTGCTTTTGCAGTTCTGAAAGCATAAATGGTACCCTAGTTTTAGTCAAATGAAAATGGAAATTTATCAAGACAATATTGATCTAACTGGTACTCTAAGACTCATTAACAGCACAGATTGAGAATTGACTTTCAGTAATTAATTGCTTGTAAGCAAAACTTCTTAAGGTGAGTAGGGACTTGCTCAGTGTGTTGGCAAGTGCTGTAATTTGAAAGACAAAAATGTTGTGTTTGATACGGTTTGAAGTTTGTATTCACAGCTTAGTAATATTGTGATTATTTCCATATGAAACAAGTTGTGAATGTCTTCTTTTTCTTAATGAGGGATCATTAACATTATGGGCTTGTATTTTAATATTTTACTGCAATTTTACTATTCCAGTTGGTATAAATTGTGTAAATAGCTTATCACACTAGTGTTGCCTGAATGATAACTTAGAGGAATCTGCTTCCTCTGTGAATGGTATAGCTGTAACAGCTGGAGAGATTCTGGTCTCCTTTTTTGTTTATTCTTCTACCCCTATAGCTTAATTTCTGAAGCACTAGGAAAGTTGCTGTTAAAAATATTTAAGATATTAGGTACAGAAATGCTAATGCTACTTTAATTACATGTAGCAGTCATCAAATTGCTGGACATGACTGGTTTTCTGTGTCTTGAAAATGAACAGAAACTGATCTATTACAGTAAAGATAATTCACTGACATTACTTAAATATACTTCAGATGGTATAAATAAAGTTTAAAGTAGGGGTTGTACAGAATGCTGGCCTTATTTGCAGGGTTAACTTATAGTGACTGTCTGTTGCAGTATAAGTTCTGGAACACATTAAGGGAAGAAAAGAAGACATAGAAGAGTGCTGATTATATTTTGAGTGTCTTTGAACAACTGTTTTAAAAGGATTGTAACCCTGAATTTTAAATGAAGCTAGTTTGAATAGGCTACTGCCTGCACAAAAGCCCAACAGCACAACCTCTGCTTTACAGCTGCCTTTTGTGTCATCTTTACAAATATGTATTAGGAGATGTCAGAGCCAGCTGATTTACTGGCAGTAAATGAACCTGTACAACAGGGATTTTGCAAAGCAAGGGCTTTGTCTCCCACTGCCAAAACAACAACCCCAGCATAATATCACAGAACTTTTTCTGCTCCTTGGCCATCAAGAGTTGATCTGATAAGAGCTGTTTTGCAGCGTGGCTGGGAGGGAGAACCATGTCAGACCACACTGGCTCTCATGCCACATTACTGGGAGAAAGGAGACTGAGGCACGTGCAGAGCTTTGAGACACAGGTGTGTTTATGCATCCCTCTGTACAATGAGGTGTGTTAACAGAATTTCTCAAGGTGACACCACTCAGAGACATAAGAATACACAGTTCTCTACCATGCAACAGTGAGAATCCAAGTTATGACTGGACCTCATCCAAGAAATAAAGCTGAATGCCTATTTCTTATCCAAGAAATAAAGCTGAGCTTGGCTGACTACAAAAAGGTCCACGTGCAAATCAGAGCCCTGCATGTTCTGCAGAACAGCACAGTGTAGCACCAAGCTGTGAAAACCCAGGCTTGTTCTCTGTATGTGAGAGAAAAACCAGGAGAGAATGGAACTGAGAGACTCAGGTGAAGCACCTTTGCATGTTTTTGTGGTGTTAACTGTGCTCTTGGCTGGACTGACATTGATAGGCAACATCAGAACATCTAGAACCTTATGAACTGGTCATCAGAATAATTATGATCTGTCTTGAGCTGATCAGAAAGTTCTGAGTGACTAATCTAGTTCAATTTTAATAGTGTGCACTGGTTTTGAGTTCAAGGTTGATTTGATTCCTTGCTTGTCTACAGGTGCAGCACACAAAATTGAGCAATGACCTTGGATAGAAATGCAATAGTCCTGAACCACTGGGTGTTGAATTAACACACCTCCAGCACTGTCCAAACTTCTCCAGAAAGCTGCAATTATACAGATCTTTCTTTTTGCTTTTCTATCTTTTTTTCCTCCATGTAAATTGTATATTTATATTTATATGTAAATTGTGCCTTGTTGCACAGTTGTTTACCCTCTGGCCATATGCTGTCATCATTAATAGATTCTTTTAAGGTTCTGGAGTGGCAAAAGTTAATCTTATCTCAAGTTAGCTTGGGAAATACTTGGAAGAGATTTTTGCAGTCAGAGCCCCAGTATTTATTCTGTTGTGACTGCATGTGCTGAATACTCCCACTTAATTCCTAAAGTAAATACTGTTTTTCAGCTTCTTAGCCAATAAGTAATGAATGCACTGCTGTATTATCCCCTAACTGGTGCCTTTCAAATTGTCTCATGGTCTTTGTTCTCAAATAATCAGGAGTGGGCAGAAGCATGAATGTGGCTGTGTGTATTGGGGAAGAAAATAACGAAGTTGTTTTCAGGTGACTCCTTGGTAACTAACCCCTCTGTCCAAAAAATAGAGAAGTTAGAGTGTCTTAAGTTCTGTTTAAAGGTCCACAATTTCATGACTTCTGCAGACAGGAAGTGACATACAAAGCTAAAAGTTCTCAAGAAAACTTGGAATTACCCTTCCAACTGTGGTGCAACAAACCTACAGTGCTCAAAATCCCTGTGGTTCCATGGAAGGACAGCAGCTCTGCCAGGCAGCACAAAGCAGGGTTTTACTGGTAAGAGCAAAGACCTTTGGCAGGGATGTTTAGGACCACAGGGTGCTCTCCTTCCATGAGAGTTTGTGTGTCTGTGTGGGGTTTGTGGTGGTGCTGTGGTTGTCACCCCTTTCCCAGCACAGCCATAATTTTACCCTTTAGGGGAAACAATTTTCTGTCAGTACAAATCACTGATCTATACATGGACTGCCTTTTGGAGCTACCTGGAATTTCAGGATGGTGTAGGGCAGTCCTGATATGGCCATGATCATTTCTGCTCCACATTTTCCTGAAAACTGATGCATGTAACAGGTGCAAATGTAATAGGTTTTCCCAGCTTCCACAGGAATGTGTAAGATAAACTTTTAGGACCTTGAGAACTCAGTATAACAAAAAATGCCCAAATTCTGACTGCTTCCTACAATGACATGAATTCTTTTCATACAGGTTGTTTGAAGGTAGAAATTAAGTGCAGCAGGTTATGTGGTTTTGTGAATGTTTTGGGGAATGTGCATCTGTATAAAAATACTTGTATGTGGATTTTTAGCCCTACTACATTTTAAACTCCCCAGAATCTTGTGCAGTTCTACTTTCTTACATATTTTAATCTTCATCTAAAAATGTCCTTGCAAAAAATCTGCTCTAATTACATTCATTATATCTGAAACTTCATTTGAATTAATCTGTATAAAGACTTCTGCTCCCTTTCTTTAACTAACATATTTTTGCTATAACTGATTAGATGGGCTGTTTTTTCTTCAAGTTAGCTGCTTTTTGATACCTGATAAAATAAGCTTGTATATATATTTTTTTTTTCTTCCTCACAGAGATTTTAATTCTTTTAACATGAGAATTTCAAAACGTTTGGATGAAAGAATATTGAAGAAGCAAATCTGTTGTATAGTTCATAATTACATGTTTTTTTCTGATTGTTTTGATCATGAAGTCTTACACAGCCAAATGCTAGAACTTTTGAAAAATGTAGAGGAATATGTAAAGAATGAAATAACCCAAGTCCTACACTTGTTGAGCTAAATACTAATATGAGAGGTGAATGAAGCATGGGGTTTATATTAAAATTAAATTCAGAAGACAACTTCATTAGTTGTCTTAGTATTCTCAATATCACTTTAACTTGGAAAGCTAATGTATCAGTGTAGTAGTGTCAACAGTAGTCTAACTAAAATCTTTAAAATAATTGCAAGTTTCTTATATAAAATCTGTTTGACACGGCAGGTAGATGAATGGTACATATTCTTACTTGTTTTTCTTTTTATGCACTTTCCAAGCAATATGCACTGAAATACTTTCAAAACAGGACCTTTTGTTCAAAACTTGCATCTTAGTTACCCACTATGACTTTTAATTAAAGTTATATTTTAACAAACCCCTAGCTTGTGCTTGTTACTTGATATTTGCCATTGTTTCCTGTAGTCTTTCTTTACACAGACAGAGAAGGGAAAAAGAGAAAGATGACCCAGAATTGCTGGTTCTGATGGAAGCATTCAAGAGAGCAGAAATATTACAGAATACATTGCACAAATACACTTATCATAGACATGAAGAACATGAGTAAAGGTTACTATTTCTGTTTAGAACTTTATTTTACTGATATAAAACCTGTAAAACCTTACCTCAAATATGTTCATCTGTTTCAAATACATAATAATGTTTCACTAACATGAAGCTTATTGATATAAATATAAAACCACCTTTCAGCAAAACAAATAAAACCCGAAAATGACAGAAAAAGAATTTACTTCTACATCTCTTGAAACTGAACACAAAAAGAACAAACTAAGTGTTATTAAAGATTTAAAGAAATAATCTTTACATTACATAGGCATTTTTTTCCTACAAATAGAAGCGTACCTGTTTTATATACAATAATGTGTGGTTGAAGTTTTTGCTTCTGCTTTATATGGTCATACTGCTCCTCAAGCATGCTTACATCCATCCTGGTGAGCTTCTTATCACCATCTGAAACCTGTGGCTCTGAGCTATGAGTCACTGAAAAATTACCAGTCACGTATTTGTAAGCCTTCACCATCTGTTCCAACAAGGAAGAAAAAGCCAAGCAGAAGCAGGACATTTCCTTCATTGTGCTGGCAAAAAAAAAAAGCAAATCAGGTGTGAAGCATCTGAAATCTTCCTAAATCAAGGAGCGACTTTCTTCCAAGCACGGTGCCTTGTGTCAGGAGCTGTCAGGTCTGCACTGGAGCTGTGGATGTCACTCAGGTTGTTTTCATGCCGAGTGCCTGGAGCTCCTGCAGACAAGAGTTCAGGATCAGGACTGCATAGCTGGATTCAATGTTTACTTAAGGTTGTGAGCATATGAACCTTTGCCAAAAAAAACAGTGAAGTATAAACCCTCACTGAACACAGCCAAACACAGAAAAGGCTGGGTAATACTGGTTTATGTAGCAAAGTTAATTCTTTAATGCATGCTGTTGTGGAGGCATCCCCAGGCCAGGAGTTCCACCTGGGAAATATTTTTCTTTTTTCCTGTGTATTTTGTGTCTTTACCCCCCACTCTCCTTTCCTTAACTTTCAGTTCCCTTCTTGCTGACGCTTGTTGGGGCAGTGGGGTGGGAGGGGAGGATTTATCAAGCTTTCATACTTTTGTGTTTATTGTTGCCTTTCAAATAATACATTAAAAGTAATCATGCCTGGGTGCAGAGTCAGAAAAGTATGAGCCAACAACACTTGGAATTGGGAGGCTGGAGACAGGAATGCCTTACTCTGACTCATTCAGGACTTCTGCTGTTCTCTAAAAGGAAATAAACTACAGAAATAATAATTTTGTTAAGGAAAGCTGAGCAAACTTTTAAAATGCATGGTAAGCTAAATTTTAAAATTTAATGTTAACATTATTATCTCACAATGAGGCAAAAATTTGAAAAGCATGTGGCTTTTAATCATATCAGATAAAGTATAACACTTTGCCTGGGCTGTGTACTGCAAGTTTTTATCCCTGAAATAGGTCCATCAAGGGCCCAAGACAGTAGTATGTGAAAAAATTATGCAGTTCAACTGTAGTTTTAATACAATTGTGCATCTGCTCATTCTCATGCAGTGACACATTTTTGGTAAGAGTTTGAAAGGACTATCTAAAAACTAATTTGAGTAAACAGTCGGGTATTTCCTAAGAACCGCTTTGAATGCAAGACAGAAGTTTTGTAACTAAAATGTCATCCTCTACAGACAATTTACCTTTTGTGTGGCATAAACCAAGTAGAGAAATAAAGCTTGAAAGCCAAACTGTCGATGGAAGGAGCAGAGAATTGTCAGAATGGTTGGCTAAGAAATGCAGGCTAATAATAATAAAGACAAGGAGGAAAGGCACTGGGCACAGCTCTGACACATCCCTCGTGGCTGGGGGAGCGGAGGCACCAGAGCAGTGTCCTGTGCATCCCCCTGAGCCAGGATCACCCACAGCAGCCCTGGGCACCCACCTGCACCCCATGGCATTGGCAGAGCCTTCGGGGGGTGCTCCTCAAGCTCCTTCCTGGGAGCAAGGTGGGAGCTGCTGGCCTGGAGATGAAGGGTCTGGAGCAGCTGGGGATGGGGCTGCGGGCACAGCAGCAGCAGCAGGAGGTCCCCATGGAACCCTGGGGACACAGGAGCCAGGCAGGTGCTTGTCACAATGGTCTGTGTGATGGATGGCTGGAGGAAACAGCAGTGGGTTTTTCCAGCTTTGTGGGCTTCAAGTCCTACGATACACTTAGAACTGTGAATCTCCTGTGCTGGACGTGGAGGCTCAGGTGGGTCTGTGCCAACATATCCAGATGTGGTATCCTCCATCAAGCACTGTGGCATTCACATTCGCTGAACAGAGACAGACATAATTCTCTCTCCCAGGATTTTTCCTGGAGAAGCACAGAGAGAAGAAGAGAAAACAATTCTTATCTCTATTCTCTGCTCCTGTTGTTTTTGCACATGTGGAGTGTGTTAGGGAGATTGTTTACTGAGAGTGAGTTCTTAATTGGATTCTGGTGATTGTTGTTTATATTAATTGGCCTATGAGGTCCAAGCTGTGTCCTGACTGTCTAGAGACAGTCACAGGTTTTTGTTTAGTATCTTTTTAGTATTCTTCAGTATCTGTTTAGTATAGTTATAATATAGTAATAATGTAATATAGTATAGTTTTAATAAAGCAATTGTTCAGCCTTCTGAATCAATGGAAGGAGTCAGATACCAATCATTCCCAGACTTTGGGGTCACCCTGCATACGATAAAGCACAACAGAAGTCACCGAATCACAGAATATCCTGAGTTGTGAGGGACCCACAGGGATCATCAAGTCTGAGTGAATGGTCCATACAGGGATCAAACCCACAACCTTGGTGTTATTAGCACCATACTCTAACCCACTGAGTTAAAGTCAGTGGAATTGTAGGGAAGATTAGTGGTTTGAAGTTGCCTTGAGTGAAAGAAAATGGTAGTTTCTCTTGGAAATGGATAACACTCCTGTTGCTTTGACAATAGGTTTTTATTTATCCATTGGTCTCTTTTCAAGATACTTTGTGAGGGGATGTTGTATTTTTCTAGCTGAGAAGAGTTTGTGTCTAGAAGGACATAAACCACAGTTGTTAGACTGATAATAACCACTCACTTATGAAAACTTGCACACGTTTGTGGTGTTATTGTGGCACAAGAGAATTTCATAGAATGTTAAGGGTTGAAAGGGACCTTAAGGATCATCTTGTCCCAACTCCCCCTGCCATGGGCTGGGGCACTTCCCACTAGATCAGGTTGCTCAAGGAATTGTCCAACCTGGCCTTTAACACTGCCAGAGTTGGGGAATCCACAGCTTCCCTGGGCAACCTGTTCCAATATCTCACCACCCTCAGAATAAAGAATTTCTTCCTAATATCCAGCCTAAACTTCCCCTCTGTCAATCTGTACCCATTACTCCTTGTCCTGTCACTACAAATCCTGATGAAGGGTCCCTCTCCAGCTTCCCTGTAGGCTCCCTTCAGATACTGGAAGGTTGCAATGAGGTCTCCACACAACCTTCTCTTCACCAGGCAGGATGTTAATTAAATCCTCTCTATAAAAGTCAGTTGTGCTACAACAGTTACATCTGTGTAGTTGAAGTGGTTACATTCCCTTTGTGCACACATGGGAAGAACAGGAAGATGTGTTACAGCCTGGTAAGGAAGGTGTGTTGTTACATAGTATCAGGAAACCGAGTAATAAATTCCAAGTTTTGTTTCCTAACAAAATACAAGGGCTGGTTGGGAAGCAACAATATGTTATTATACCATTTATATATAAGAAAAAGATGCAATTTACTAAGACCCATTAAACAACAACAGAAATGAGCAGAGATTGTATTCATTTATTTTAAAAGTTAAAAAAATATTAAAGATTTTGTAGTCACAATCTTCTATAGCTAGTAAAAGAAGTAAACCTTCAGCAGGTTGACCCATTTAAGTAGGAGGTCTACTTTGCTATTTCAAGTTTTTGACTTAGTTTTAAGTATTACTGAATATCTTAGGACATATAACCCAAGCCTCCTTGCAGCTTCAGAAATCCTGGGCCCTTTCCTATTTGGGAAAGGATAAAAAGTCAGTTTGTTGCAGGCTGGCATGCCTTTTGTAGCAGAAATGTGCTGATGTGCCCAAAGTGCTGCAGTGGGTGATTTCAGAGGAGGCTTTTGGCAGGAGCTTGAAATGTTGCAGCCGTTCTCTCTGCTGAGACTGTTCAACACACTTGAGCTTCCCAGCTGCCTGAGCTCAGGCAGTTCACCTGTTCCTTCATGTTCCTTGGGTTGCACATAAATGATTGACTGAATCAGGCTGAAATCCTGCAGATCTTGGACATCCCCTTGAAGGTTCTGTGTCTGCAGGTGACAAGACTCTAGATACGCAGTACAGAGTTCTGGGAAGGCTCAGTAGGCTCACATGTGTAAATCTGCTGTAGCTGACTTGTTAATAATTACTCCTGCCTTCCCAATATGCTTGTGTCTTACAGCTGGGTGACCTACCTCAGCTGCAGTCCTTTCCTGCCTTAGCCAGGGAGGGAACAGTAAATATAATACTCTGACAGACACTGTGGATACTCATGAATTTGGCTTCTCTCTACCTCAGAAAAAGCACATGTCATGTTAGAATTGTTCTGATGTATCATGGCTTTGTTAGATCTACTTTGATACTCTGTCTTCAGCAGTGACAAACACCTGGTGCTCTCTAGCAAGCAGTGCCTCAATTGCCTTGTTTGTCCAGTGTTCTGAGTTGTTGTCACATGGAGTCTGCCTCTGGACCTCCAGGCAGTTGACTTATACATTGGGACAGGAGATTTAATTAACCTCATTACAGTTTGAGCTGGCATTCAATACAAACATTATTAATGGTCATAAAAGTTACCCAACCTTTTTAAAATTCCAGTCACACAGTTTGACTCTCTGACCTCCTGTGAAAGTGACTTGTGCAGCCTGCCTGTGTGTGTGGCAGGAGGGATTACTGGGATAGCATCCTTAAACCAGAAACACAGGCTCTGTCTTCAGAGATGTGAGCTTCACTTCTCATTAGGAGAGCATTTAACATGTAATGAGTTTATATCTGATCAGAAATCATTATTAATTATTTGTGCTGCACCATTCCCTCAGCATCAGGAAAAGCCATCACACGTAGTCACGTGAGTGGTTTATACAAGTCAGTCCCCTCCCAAGCAGTGCCATGGGTAAGCAACAGGACCACAAAGCAGGCAAAGGAGCCAGATGGCCAGTGAGACAAAGGGAATGGGCCCAGGTGGTACAGCAGAGAGGAGGAACTGCAAACAGGATTAGCTCAGCCAATCCTATATGCACTGCAGTTTGTTTGCTTCTCAGGGAAAACTTGTGAGCAGAGTCTGCATAGAATTGTTAAGGCTGGAAGAAGCCTTTAAGATCAGCAAGTCGACCCAGTATCACCATGTTCACCATTAAACAATGTTCTCAGGTGCTATTCCCCAAGTGCTCTGTAACCCTTTCCATGAAAAAAATTCCTAAAATCCAGTCTGAACCTCTCCTGGTGCAATGTGAGGCCATTTCCTCTCATCCTGCTACTTGTTACCCAGGAGAAGAGACCAACCCCCACGTCACTATGACCTCCTGAC